TTGTGATGTTTTACAAGTCAAGAAGCGCAACTTTTGGCACCCCAGTGTATATATTATATAGAAATACACCATACTACACCTATGCACCAGCACCACGGAGCTTCGGGTGGTTGTTGGATGGTAAATATATACATCATCAGGGATCTACATCAACGACCCGAACTCCAGAGGCGCTGGGGGAGGTCCTCTGCGCCGCACGCGGAGTTTCCACCGCAGCAGCAGCTGTCCGGTTTCGCTGCAGCCACAGTCACGGCCTCGTTGATGGCCCGTTTGGCATCCTCCAGGCCACCGATGTCCTGCATTCAAACAACAAACAGCGCCGACGGCAACATATACACGTATACCCGTTTGGCCTCCAGTCGTACCTTTTGAGAAGGTGGGACTGGGGTGGGTGCCAGGAGGGTCCAGTCATACCTTCTGAGGAGGTCCTTGGAAGTGTAGGGTTAAGACATCTTTTAACAGAATTTTGATGTCGTGTTTTTGTTGGCAGGTGGGACGTTCAGGTAGACTTAGGGGTCAAGAACATCATGGAATTTTCTAAGAGACTGGGTTAGCGACATTCAGCGACTATACGATCTGTACGTGAAGTTTGTGCACCAGTGCGATCCAGAGTACCAAGTCTATGTCTGGATGTGATGTGACTATATAATATATATATAGAGAGAGATCAAAATTGTGAGGTCGTGGCAAGTGTTGTGGCTTGTCCTGGCTTCCTTGCTGCAGCCACTGGCTTCCCTCCTATACAAGTCTTCCCTCCCAGTTGATGTAGTTGCAGGTCTTGGCGTGCTTTTGGATCTGCAGGACTTCCTGAATCCTACAAAGAGCTGGACCCAAAAAAAAGAATCATGAGGCATCCTGTCTTCATGACTCGGTGTCGATGAAAGGTCTCCCTGTCCTCGAAGCGGACCTTCAAATCTTGGCAAACGATATCTCGCTCCTCAGAAGGGTTTCCAAAGCAACAACAGTCTGTTGGGCCAGTTGGGGTGACGAGAGGCTTTATAAATACAGGACGTGGGAACCGAAAGCAAATGTTGGGGCACAACTCTTAACAAACCAAAGCAAGAAAGCACACCAAAGCAGGTGAACCAGCAAAGTAAACATTACAGCTCAGAACCTTTGAAACACCCCCAAATAACATCAAATAACCACCGTTTTGTTCCACATTGAACACCACTGACAGCCAGCCCCACACGAATAAAACCACCGGACCCATGCTGAAATGGAGAGCGCTTAACCAAGAAGTTGTGTCAACAACATATCCAATCCAGGTACATGCGATGCGCCCTTGCCGCCCAAACTGGCACCTCCCACAACCCCAGTGAGGCCCACAAGTAAGGAGCACAAATGTGAAATATGTTACTTTTGTTTGGTACGCAACGCTTGGAGGCTCTACTCACTATATGGATAATGGACATCCATCCCGAGGTAGGATTGTGTAGGCATGCTAAACATTGCAATGTTTTGTTTTTTTGTTTACTAACTAAAATATGTATATCTATTTAACCATACATGGTACACATGATGTCTCTGAACGAAATGATCACTGTGCATCGAGTGCATTGCATGGTGCGACGACTGAGATTGTCGTAAAAATTTGGGGGAAAGCAAACAGCCATGTCTATTGCACCCATGTACCTCTGGAACCAGGGAAAACCCCTTAGAACTTGTCTCTACCTGGTCACATTAAATGATTGATCAGGGTGTGCATCAAAATAGGGAGACCTCCCAGTTCGACCCTCTGGAAGAAGGGAAATTGACATAGACCAAAACATACCCAAACCATCCCAAACCCATTGGTTGGGGGGGGTCTCCCTATACTCGCCCCTATACACATCCATCACCCATCTATTGCCAGAGCAACGGTCCAATCCCCCAAAAAGTGAGATCCAATCGGACTCACGTGTCTTGGTTGATAAACGCGGTCACGTTCGTCGGACCCACGTGGCACGAAAGGCCCCTGGAGTCTTCCGCTCTACGAACAGGCGGAGCAACGTGCATTTTGTTTTCCTGTGCTACGAACAGGCAGTGCCATCATGTGCCATCCACTTCCCATGCCGGCAACGTGAATCAGAGAGTCACCACCGATGGACTCATCTTTGCCTGACAAGTCTCGATCGACATAGCAAGGTCTATTTCTTCATTCACAGCAGAACCAGCTCCAGGCATGATGCTGAGTGGCCCATATGCCTTACACAGAAAGGTTCAGAGTTGGATTTCAAGAGTTCTCAAATGACATCTCGCGGATGGAAATCATGTTGCACTCCCTGGAATAATGGATATTCTTGGATGACCATTTTCCTCTACAAACGGAGGGAGCGCCCTTAAACCCCGGTGACGCTGCTTCGCGGTGTTGGACGCATGGCGTTCGGTGGCCACTACGAGAGTCATCGCCAGTCGATACCCTGTCGACCCTTGGTGTATGGGTATAAGCTACTAGGAACAAGTGCATCGCTTCTAGTAACAAGTGCCTTACTAGTATTAACAGGTGCCTTATCGGTGCGGTTTGGCGCAGTGTACTTGGTGTATCCGTGTGGTGACGCATGAACAAAAGGGACACGCCGGTGCGCACGCGCGCCGCTACTGTATGCTACAAGCAGGTGGTTTGCCAATTCCATGATGTCCAAGAGTGCAAAATAAGATGAGCATCAGAATGAGCCACATCCTCACTTTGACGAGATGCTGATGGTGCCTTTCTTGCAGATGATGTGGCAGCGCTTGCAGAGGTCTCTTCATCGTCCCGAGTGGTGCCAGGCACCAGGCGAAAGCGCTTCACGTAGCAGCGAGTCTTTCCATAGACGGCCAACCCAACGCTGCTCTCTCCTACGCGGAGGACCGAGGGCCTTTCGGAAAACCCCCGGTAAGAAGCTCGGCCAATGGCAGTCGATCAGAACCCGGAACGCCCAGTCCTGGTAGGTTCTGCTCGTGTTCGGTCGTCAGCCAGGGTCCCCCCCGGTTTTGGACCCACATGATGTGGGTGATGATTCCCACTGGCCCTACACAACTAGCATCAACTAGCCCAAGAGTGGGAGGGTTCCTTCCTTCGAAGACCACTGGGCTGGGCGCTCGAAAGATCGCCCGTCGCTGGGCGTCTTGCTATGAACATAGCCGTCACCACCGACCACCCGCGGCCCAAGATTTTGAGTACCGGAAGTCTACTTAGATGGGAGACCCTATGAGTGTACTAACCCCTTAAGATCAGAAACTGCAGGGCAGTTGGTACGAACTAGACCCTTACACTAATCCACAACATTCAGACCCCTGAATACAATCTCTTCGGGGCCAGTCCACACCAATCAACACTGCTACAAGTTGCCAGGCTGGACATATCCTCTCTGCTGCCGTCGAAATAGGCAGATCGAACATCCTTCGCTCCATTCCGCTCCTGCATTTGACCCGCGGTCAACCCGCAAATTCTTCACCATCGAGATGCCACTCACCGTCAAGCTCATGGTCTCCCCACTGAACTCTGCCTGCACCTCAAAGGATGCGGGATGCCGCCGGCGCAGAAAGTAAGCCATGGTTGCTACGGTGGGACGTATGTCCAGCCCGGGGCAATGTAGCTAGGCTCTGGGAGCTATGCGCTTGAAGGCAAATGGGAGTCACTGCCAGCAGCACTTTGCCCACCGAAATCCGAAACTTAAATCGCTTGGTGTGACCCCTGTCTCAAGCTGCATCATTTCCTGACACCAATGACCTTCAGAAATGGCTAAGGGAAGACTAGCATCTCTTGAAGTCTGCACCATACTCCCCTTTACAGGTACACCATCTATGAAGTAGATGAAAAAAAAACTGAAAAGATGACGTCACCCACAAACGACAACAACATGCAACAAAAAACATGCCAAACCCCTTCAAACCAACGGTCAGATATGTTTTACGCAAAGCATATAGGTCCAAGGCACTGTAAGGTAACTCTGAGGTCTCAGTATGCTACAGTTGGGTTGCGCGAAGTGCGTCACCGTCTGCTTGTGCCGCTTCTGACTCTCCACCCGAAGCTCGCGGGTGTCAAAGTTCATGCGCAAGGCCAGGAAGTCACAGCCCGAGGAGAGGTCTGTGACCTGGATTGAAAATACCCTACAAGTCCAAGGGCCAAGTTGAACCTGGTCCTTGACCCATTGAGAACTGGTTTTGCATGACCGGATCCAGTCAATTGAGGTCCTTGACCTGCAGGGATAGCTGCAAGGACGTGGGAGATGGGGCACCCAGTATTCTAAGGCTCTAAGGACAGGACCTGAATCTTGAATCCACAGACCTCCCGAAGCTTGATTTTTTTCGAGCGCTTAGAGTATTGCATTTGGGGCTGGATGAACCCGTACTATCCAAGAGGTATTCTCCAGAAGTACCTTCCTCTCTCATTTATCATTATGTCCCATCAGTCTTCTTTAAAATTTAGAAACGTCTCCAATTGTTCTTCCTCCTCAATCCCCGCTGTTTTCCTTCCGGAACCATCGTCTCGGTTCCGGATGAAGGGGGGCAAAGGGAGAGAAGGAGACGGAGAGGTGATCACTTTGTAGCCAGTGACTGTATCTAAGTCATTGCATGTGGCCAAGTATCTAGCTGGAGTATCTCAAGTCAGATCCTACTGAGACAAGTGCATAAGGCACCTGTTTCCTTTCCCCACCGGACCTCGGCTCGAGTCAGCGGAAACGCCGTCCAGATCGTATGCCGCCGCGTTCGCCTTGTTGCAGTCGAGCAAGAGGAAGATCTGTTGATCTGGGGTCCTGGACGTGGAGCTGCCAAGTCGCCACTAATGATATGAGACGACACCAAGGGATTGGGACCCCAGATCAGTCCCCAGGTGTGAACTGAGCCCCCTATGATCAGATAATTATGATAAGTCCCTAGGGACTTACACATGTGGAGAAGGAGATGAGTGGCTCGGAGCGGCAGAGAAACGAGTGACACACATAGAAATTCATAGAAATACCTCACACTCATGTGTAGAAGTCAGTTTACATCACTTGTGGAGCACCAGAAACATGGAATTGCACAACCATGAGTTTGGACTTCAACATGGTCTTGAGGACATCTATATATATATATATAACTCTCAAGCTTTTAGGTTACACGACATCTGCCTTGAAATAAATCACCACAGTGCATCCATGGCCGTTTCCACTTCTATATAATTCGTTTACCCTCATGGTACAGACGTTCTGCACCGTCGGGGCAGACCTGGTCCCCTTGAGACCTGGTTCCAGACCGTTCCAGACGCTCGCTCAGGTTCCAGGACTGTTGCTGTCGGCAAGGGATGAGAATGAGGGTGACACACCCCGTTCTGGACAAACACCACAGAAGAATATGGAATGACCATGAATGACCATGATTCCTCATGACATGTCGAAACCTCCCTTAGTGTTTTTCACCATGTACTGGGCTTCTGATGCTCCCTAGTTTAACAAATAGGCAAGTGCATCTGACACCTTGGACATCCATTCTTTCCAACTGTTCCAACTCTTTCCAGGGCTTCTCACTCAAAAACACCTTTGGAACGGACTCCACACCAAAAAACACGCCTCCCCCGATGTTCTAGAGACGGGCATCTGCTCTTGTGGCATGCACTTCAGCTCCGCGCTCAGTGCATAGACACCTCTCAGCTCCGCGTCTCCCTCCCCGCGTCTCCCGCTTCGTCCGTCTACACCGAGTTCGGTGCATGGAGGTGCGGCTGCTCACGCTTCTTTGGGGGGAGCACGACTGGAGAAAGGGGTTGAATTCTGCGGTGGCCCGTGGAAAACAGGGAAAAGGAAGGATGTCTGTTTTCTTTAAATCAAGGACACTTTGGCTTGGACATTTGCTGCTAATAGCATTTCATGGCTGCAGGAGGGTCTACTCCAACAGCGGCAGAAGCTAGGCTCTGGTAGAGAACTTCTCTGTTTACATCCACAGATTCGAGTCGGTGCATCAGGTTTTTCCCTTCGTCGAGTGGAGTGGTTTCACCCCACGTCACGATCTTCTCCCCACGCTCGACTCTGCTGTGCTTTGGAACGCTCGGGTCGGGCTCGGACCTCGGCTCCGACCCGATCGGGTCGCACCTTCCGCCAGCAGGCGTCGCTCCTCCGGGCTGCCACCGTAGCAACAGCCGGAGAAGCCCGAGGATTTGGTGCCTTCCAGAATGAAGACGTTCTTCTCCTCGCGGAATGACACCCCAATACGCCCCAAAAGACCCATCAGACCGCCTTCCAAAGAAAGACCTGGAAGGGTTGGGTATAGAGACGAGAAGCAGCAGGCCAGCTCTCTGTGCTCTGCTCCAATGGTCTCTCTTCCCCTCTGGATGAAGTCCAAGCTTGAACCAATTTGGGGAGAATCGCGGCAAACGAGTGTACTAATCCTGGCCAGAGCTGCCCCTCCCAAACAGTTCACAACTTTTTGCCCCAACACGCTGAAGACCGTGGAAGAGCCGAAAAGCCTTGCCCAAAACTAGGAAATGCATGGAGTTATGCCTTGCTTGTGTTCTTGGAGCACCTCAGGTCTTCCAACTTTGAGCTAGCCAGCCATATTGGTGGAACTCTCAAAGTATTCGCCTTCTTGCTCAAGTAGATCTTGCCATGGTCAGTGAGCTGTGTCCAGCCTGCGAACAGCACTTTGGGGTTCAACTCCTCTATATTTCAACATGCAAATGTCCGTCACAGTGACATCATCGCAAACTTGATTGGGCCGAAAATACCACCACATCCAACATCCACCGCTCCGAGGAGTTCTTTGATTTACACTCATGGAAGTGGAACAGTTCGACCCCTAGAAGACCAATTGTCCTCTACAAGGGGGGTCTGCTCAGCTTCCATGATTGTTTGAGGGAGTTGTTTACTTGTTGCACTCACGCAGAAGTCGCTGGAACGGCTCCGCCTGGACCATAATCCTCTTTGGACGACCCGCTGGAACGGCTCCGCTCGGCCATCGGGATCGGGCGGTTCCGGGAAGTTCGCCGTCATGCAGGGTCCGGCGGTCCGGCGGGCCGGCGCTACGGGGTAGGGTCTTTCAATAGAAAGATGAAAGGACCAATATTCGTCAGATCTCTTTAGGTACCATCACCTGTCTATAATTATACATGAATTACTGGTCATTTACATAGACCTGGAGGATGGGAGGGTGGGAGGGTGGACCTTTGCATGATTTCGCACGACCATAGTCGAATTTTGCTCTACAAAGGCGGCATCTTCCATGTTTTCTGTGATCTCCTCGTTCCCTAATGGCCCACCTCACAAAATCAATAAACAGAAAGCGCGACGACATACGATGGGATGCTCACAGCGCTCCCGAGTTTGGGGTGGCTGGTTTGACCGGTTTAGACTCAGTCGTACTTTGGCAGCACTTGTGTCTGCCACAGGAGCTAAGGTTTCTGAAGCCATGGAGAAGAGGCGCCACATTGGCAGATCTGTGGTAGGTCACAGCAAGGTGAGATTCACAGCTTTTCTACTACTGTGAGTACTGCGGACCATTTTGAGGCAATGGCAATATAATTAATGAACAAACAATATCTTGTTGGGTCTGGCTGGCAACTGCAGGTCGAATCAAGCCTGGGATACTATCTTCATGGGGGTGTAATGCGCTTTCAACAAACACATGGTCACACTTGCATTTGTTGTTGCTAGATGTTGCTAGTTCTTTTTGAAGAAACTCAAACCCAACTCAAACGCACGGTCGAAGAAATGGCCCGACACTGAACCACTTGATGTGTCCTTCCTCATAAAGCCCGTCTGCCCTAATCTGGCTTTGCCACACGGGTTGACGGCCGCCAGATTGGTGCCCTACCCGCCAGTCGCCCCCATCCGACGTTCTTTCGATCGCCAGCATGAGGTCTCATTCTCAAATGGTGCCAAGGGCAACCTGCGGGGAGCATCCCAGTGCACTGCTCTTCTACATCAAGTGCTTGTAGCATAAAAACCCAACACAATTGTCTCCATTGATAAACAAGTTTGCTCCATTTTGTGCCGGGCCTTGTCAGTTTACATATCACAGGTTCTTTTTGTTGCGTGGCATCGTGGAATCGTGTGTCACCATGTCTCAGACTTCAGCGAATCCTCCGCGAGCCTGCCCCTGCCCCGGACCACGACACAAAGAAAGAAAGAGAGAGGGAGTGCTGAGAGTGCGCTCATTCTGGAGCACAACACATCTTTGGGTTGCAACACTTGCAACTCCTCGCAACTCAAATCTTCACACATCAGCTTCTTCTCCTTCACAACGTTTTGACCGAACCAATACACATATATCATATTGTAGGCATCTCATCTGCCTGATTCACTGCACATGGACACCCAGCCAATCCGGGGTCTTCCAACCTGCTCCTTGATCCATGGAATGACCTCCTCGAGGGCTTCTTCCAACGAGGTGAGGCACTCAATGCCCAGCATCTCCTGGATGCCAGCGGATGCCCGCCGCAATCACCCAGGGGTGCATCCAAGAGATGGCGTTATTGCGCATGAACACCTTCACCACCACCACCACCACCACCACCACCAATCCTACTCCTATACTCCTACTACTCCTACTACTACAAGTACATTTCTAAAACTACATTTCTACGACGAGGACGACGACGACGACGACGACGACGGCTACTACTCCTACTACTACTACTACTACTACTACTACTACTACTACTACTACTCCTGCTACTACTGCTACTACTGCTACTGCTGCTCCTGCTCCTGCTGCTGCTCCTGCTCCTACTACCACCAGTAGCAGCAACAACAACTTGAGGGGCACTTGCGCACGAACTCACGAACTATTCGCCAAGAGTTCCGGAGACTCCCGCTGCAATACAGATCCTTGGGCCACAGGATGTTCTGACGTTCTGTTTGGGCATCGAATTGCAGGAGACATGGGGAAATGGATTCTTCCCCGGGAGTTGTTTGAACTCCAAACTACCGGCCTCTTGACCAGCCTCTTGACCATGGCTCAAGAGCACTGTGTTCTAACATGCGGGAGACCGGGAGACCCATTGGCCCATCACAAAAGGACAACGGTCTAAAACCCCTTGGTTCGACATTGGTTGGAGGGGCTTGCCATGGTAAGACACTTCTGAAAGATCCGGGACGTTTCAATCACCACATCTGCCAACCGTCCACATCATGGAACTCTGCTGTCCACCCCACCGGCCCGTACTGCGTCCTTGGCCTTCTGGACGCAAGGTACCCGCATTTGAACGTCATGCCTAGGATCCCAAAGGTCGTGCAAGTCGCCGACTGTGGAAAAAAACACCCGTGAAACTCGAGTGGAATCATCCATTAACAGGAGGGCAAACAGTCCACGAAACCCGATAAAAGTATCAAAACTATAGTCTGTTGAACACAAACCAGCCATCAAAATCAATCAAACACAAAATGAATCAACATATTCAACATGAAGGGCAATTCTGGTCATGTTGGAGCAAAACAGCCAAACACCAGCTGAACAACATTGAACAACCACCCCCCCCAAGAGTTTCAAAAACCGCCCTACGGAGTGGAGAGTCTGCCTGTTCACATCAGCCCGGAGTCTGCGGCGTCGGCGACGTGGCAGTCTGTCGGTCGACAAGAAATCTCTTTCGGTCGCCCCGCTGGAAGGGCTCGTCGGAGACATACTCGAAGGGCACGTCCCCGTTGAGCCTGAGCACAAACACACGGGAGATTAGTTTTGCATTTTTTGTTTCGGTCGTGAAAGAAAAAAAGGAAAGTATACCGTATGAATGAATAAACCACCCAAGGAGAAAACAAACGCCTCCCAAGACACAAAGCTCCCCCAATCTCACTTTTCTCTACAAAGGCATCTCCAGAAAAAAGAAAAAAAACTTGATGTTCTCCACCCAAGTCAGGTTTCCCTGGGCCTAGATGTTGTAGAGAGCATCCTGTTACAAATATATATATATATATATATTATAGTAATAACAATAAGACGGCAAGACTGAGGCTATTTGTTGAGAGACAGGTGTCATATAGAGTCTATACTGCAGCTTCAGGGCTGAGATTAGATCAATTCAGCACCGAAAGAACTTCTGGATTCATAAAAGCAGTCCTTATCTGGCCATGTTGATGATTCGACCCTCAATAGCATCTGGACTCAACTCCCTGGACTCCGGACACAAAAAAGTGGGAACACTCGGATCCAAGGGGCTTCTTCCAAATGACTTCTGCCAACTCGAGGACCTCACACGAGCGACGACGTCTCTCAGCGACGACGTCTCGCGCAGCAGAGTTCCACCTCGATCAGGCAGACAGACGAGGAGGCGACGAGGAGGGGCAGTGGTTCCACAGACACCCCGCAAGACGAAGAGGAACATATACTTTACGGTCTGCACATCCCTCATTTGGTGAATCCATCTGCTCGATCTCCTATGTCACTCTGCTTTTGCCACATAGTATGGAAACTCAACCAAGGTGTCTGCAAGGTCTACATCAGTGCTGCGTAATGAAGAGGTGCTAAGTTCTAGGTTGATTTGGGAGGAATGCACTTGAAGGCCGGCCCCACCAACCCGCCGCCGCCGAGTGGCGGTGTGGCCCACGCTGGTCGAGATATTGAAGTCCTGCTGGTCGCACGCCAGGTTCGGTGCTGCATTTTAGCACCTTCTTTGTTGGAATATGATGGATTCTTTCTGATCTTTTTGCCTCACCCTAAAAGACTCTCAGAGCCTTTAGTCATTGACCTCCTTCATTTCCCCAAGTTGAAGCTACGTGATTTCTTGCCACCTGATCAGATGGAGTTGGGAAGTAGATCGAATATGGACCAGCTTCACCAACTTGCGCCTGCATACAGCACCCTATCACTCTACCACCAGCAAAGAAGACTCGCCTTGACCCACCGTGACTCGGGATTGCTCTCACTAAAAACTGGGAACTCGCCCAGCAACCTAACTGCCTTCACCGCTTCTCAAACAACATCCAGTTGTTTTCGAGCCAATGGTCATGCAAGAGCCATGGGGTCTGGCACCTCTCACAATACCTGGCCTTGAAGAACATTTCATTTGGATGCATGGATGGTCATGTCTCCTGGAATTTACCCATGATGCCATGGCCATATCCCCAAGCAAAAGGCCAAATTGCCTGATGGACGGCCAACAAAACAAACACAGTACTTCTGTCCCTTCTGTGAGCCACAAAAGAGATCAACGCTTCGTCCGACACCCAGATTGAGGTTCACCACACCTATCCCATCCACAGAAAATCTGAAGTTGCAAAAGACACCAAAGCAAATCAAATCCAAATCCTAGAATGAAACCTGATGTGTTTTCTCACGTGAGCAAAGATCCTTGTGCAGCTGCATACGGATTTGGATCGTACTCGCCAGAACCAATGGATAGTCTTGTCGCGTGGATCTCCTGATTTTTGGAGCGTGGATCCATGATACACTTCACGATGCCCTTGGCCAAATCCCCAGCCTTGGATCCCCCCCGTGTCGAATCGATCCCAGCCGACCGGTCGGTTTTCGGTTTTCGTCGTTCGTCCTTCAAAACAGAATTTGAACAGGATCATGATTGAAGGACTGGACGAAAACCTGGACTCACCTCAACACATTGGAAGGACTGGACTTAACCACGGGAAAAGTGTTATTTTTGAACAGGGTACCTTTGGCCAAAGTGCCTGGAGATATGCATCTCTTAACCGGAAAGTGCAATTTTTGAATGTTCAAGGTTCAAGGTCACTCTTTCCACTGCTTTCCGCTCTTTCTCATTGGTCTGAAGACGCCTTCTTGGTCTGTGCTGTCGAAGGACTCAGATCCACACGGCTGTCGGCCGGAAAATCACTCGCTGCTCTAGTGCGTGCTTTCAACTCACAATAGGTAGGGTGTCTGTCATCTGTGTGATTTGTACCAAATTCCCGCTAAATGGTGTAAACTGATCTCCCGCCTTTTTACCAAAATCCGGTCACATGCCCTCTATTGCCATTCTTTTTGCGCCGTGTTGGAATCCATCAAGTGACTCCCATGGGCCATGGGTTTCTCTTCAGGGGTCATGAAACAGTCGCGCAGTCGTCTGCACAGTCGCGCTGCGTAGGTGTAGTGCCGTTTCTGATTCCCAGCGCCCAGAATATGAAGCCTCAGCATCCAGTCGTGGTGAAAGAACGGTGACACCATGTGACACCAATGTGGCTGGTGTCACATGGGTTACACAGGAAAACCCTCACTCCCAAGTTATCAACAAACTACCGCATTTCGAAGGGACCTTAGCTTTATGGCCAGCTATGCAACAGTCAACAGCATGACATCAAGAAATCTTGGCGTCGTGCTGCCTACCGCCCTTCTGGCTGCATCTAGCCACAGTGCGCTCCTCCACTCCATGCGTGCACTTACCCCACATCTGCAAGCACGACCTGACGTGTTCATCCTTGAGGTTGAAAACGATCCCATTGATATTGAATCAACACTCATGGTGTGAACAAATGCTACCGGCTATGTCCTAGACTCGATGACACCTCAGTCAGCTAGAGTTGGAGCGACAACAACAAGCTGCATGCATTAGATGAGGCAAGAATGTGAAAACATCAGCAAGGTTAGAGAATCCTGGACACTTCCATTCAAAGCCATCCTCCCTGAAACTCAGTTTCACTCGGTTCACTCGTGTCCCAGACACGGCTTCTGCCCCTTCAAGATCTTTTGCACCAAATCCGGCACCACATGCGACATGGCCTCCGGACGAGGCAGAACGGTCCGTTCTTCACGGTGGCGGATGGTGTGCTTCAACACTCTCGGTTTGGTACGGTGGCGGATGGTGTGTGCAACAGTGCAAAAGGAGTCGATTGTAGTATGAACATGTATTGATTGAAAGGGTATTCTGACACATTCCAAACATGTTTTCTATGTTTTCTTTTTTTGACATTTTGAACGCCATCAGATTTGAGGACAACTACAGGACTTGAAGCTCCGATGATTGGAAAATGAAATCCTCTGCCATTTAGCACAGCACGCGAGCAATAAACAGAGATCATGGATTGAGTTGAGTCAACACTACTTCTGATACGTCATCCAGTGAAACCGACTCTCCAAATCCCACTCAGGGGCCCTCTATACAGAGTATCTAGAGAAGTAGCAGGGAACAGTACTATATACCCCAGAAAAAATGAAAAAACGTAATTAATGAATATATACCCCTCCATATTTCAAGGTGAACTTGGATGGACCATTCTCTAACTAGAAAAAACGGGGCATTCACTTTTGTCTAGTAAATATTTATGGCTAGGTAAAAATGCTGTCAAGAATCATCTAGGCAAGAAACAAAGACCCTATCTTCATGATGTGTTGCCTCTCTAGGGAATTGTCTACAGTTTCCATTTTGCGTTAAATCAGACAAGTGTAGCACACACACAAAACAAAACTTTTTCTAGAGGCGCCAGGGAGAGGGACTTCTGAAAAACATTCATCGATGGCCAAACATGAAAATACAGTAACCATTTCGTAGAGATGTTCAGCTATCAATGAAAATGAGGAAAACAAATATCAAGCAACCTTTTCGTTTGAGCGTAAGATGTTGTAGTTATATAACGTATATTCTTTGACGTGCCACAGACTCCACACCGTGACTCCATGACACAGCAATCGTTCCTCATACCGTGACTTCATGTCTTTTCCACCATTTTGCTCCCGAGTTTTCTGGACCATCATGTTGATTGTCAGATTTCGTCAGCGCTTTGCCAACCCAAACAATGTTGTCAGATTTTATTATGGAACATGCTTTGCACCGTTTGCATATCAAACAGCTGTATCTAGAAAATGGTGTCCTTGTTGATTGCTGCTGTTTTGCCAAACGTCTAGAAAGTGTTCTTGTACCTATTTTCATATCCCATTATTTTCAAGCACAAGACTACTATAGATAATAGATGTCCTCTAGGAATTGGTAAGGTATGGTAAAACATATGATTGTATCATCAAAAAAAAGCTGTTCTATAGAACACGGCGGGGCTCTAGCAATATATGGGCCATGTGTTACTAGAAAATGACCCTTGGACTTGGACTTGGGTCCAACCATCTCCTAGGGGAAATAACAAAAGGTAAATAAAATAGCATAAAATAGCATATAACAAAGATATGACCCTGCCAGGTTAGAGTGATAGCATCCACTCCGCCCAGTGACATCTTCCAGACTCGTTTCTGACCAAGACTACCCTGTCTGTTGATACCCTGAACATCCCCGAAACCTCCCCAAAATATACCTTCTGCATGCAAATCAGATTTGAATGCTTCCATACAACAGCAATCAACAGCCCCTGGATCAGGCACCCAAAAAAGAATCGCGGACATGCTTGCTCCCTGACTCATCCTCCAAGATGGGAAGGCGCTTTGGTTCACTTCTTCCCAACTGCATCTTGCAAACCCAAGAAACCCCTGGGGGAACCAGGGACGAGCTTGCCCCATGGTTCCTGGTTGCTGATACTCTTGCCAAGGTCCCTGGTTGGATACTGAAACGGTCTCATCATCTTTGGAATCACGGGTGTTAACAGGTCTTCTCAGTCGCTCATTGCAGGTCTTCTCCGTCTCCACCGCCTTTTGATCGAATCCGCTCTCCACCGGGGTCCTCGACCGAAACAGGTCAGGGGTTCCGACGCGCTCCTCCCCTCTACCCTCCAGAAAAATGCTGCTCCTCCATACGAAAAAACCGCCTTCAGCACTCGCTGAAAACGTCGAAATTCGCATTGTGGCATCGCATCTGACTCCGAGGTGCCAGCTTCACGTTGCCACTCAGCACCTCCGAATCCGTGGTCGCGCGCTGCTCGCCGATGCCCACGGCGTTGAAGGGTCCTTTGGCGAACTGCGAACGCATCGATTCGTTCGTGACGTGACATCCAGCGATGGGATTCGCCAGCTCCAAAGACAAAAAGCCATGGCGGCAAAGCCTTGAAAACAGAGTGTTTTGCATGCCCATGATTTTTGCACAAAGGCTCGCCCCTGGATAATTATGCTCATACTGACTCATACTTCTACAATGGTACCTAGGATTCCCTTCAAAAGGTCTTTCTTGGCCAGTTCAAAACACCGCTTGCAGCTCTTCCCAAAGAGCTTCCCCACACCGCTTTTTGGGCAAAACGACCGCTTTTTGGGCAAAGCTTGATTGACCTGGGAAAAGCTGCACATCGACCACCATCGACGGACATAGCTGACATAGCTGCCTGAGGTCCACTGGGTCCATTGGGTCTATCCCACGATCCCATCGCCCAACGGATGATGATTTTCTTGGTCAAGGGCAACATCTCTAAAATAGTGAGGTTCTTGTTTACCGACTGTTACAAGTATATAATAACATATAATAACGGTAGGACAGACTGACCCAACATGTCTACTTCAAGGATGTTTTGACGAAACTGACGCTCCAGCGGACTGTCCAGCGTCCCAACCGAAACAGAGCAAGGAGCGAACATACAGAGTTCCAAATATCTCTGTTCTTTTTCTGATTCATATGGATTTGCATCAGGCCGAGCTGGTTGATATCCAGTCTCTTCAGCGAACCACTTGGGACGACGCAAACCTCTCTCTATCCATCTCTATCCTTTCTTTCCATGAGACCAAGGCACGAATGATGGTATATGGCAGCCTGAGTCGTTTGGCATGCTTCAAGACTCGTTTGGCACTTCTTTCTTCACGATTTCTCCATCGAACTTGTTTTCCATCGAATTGGTGGATCGTTTCACTGGCACGTCCCACGAAGAAAGCAGGGAACATCAACGGCTCCGAGAACTGCACGGGCTCTCCGTGCGTCCTCGTCAGGTGTTTCGGGTCGGGTCGGGTCGGGTCGGCGTCTTCGGGTCGGTGGTGTAAGTCGACTGGGTCGGCCATGCGACACCCAGGGGTGTCGTGTGAGAAATGCTGTGACACCCAGCGAACGGGCGATTGGTCACTCGGGGGGGGTGATCACAGGATCACAGTGTGATCTCCTGCGTGCGGATGCGTGGGGCCTCTGGTGATTTTTGGTTGGCTGGTGGTGGTTTGGTTCTGTGTTCTGTCGGTGGTTTCCCGTTTTACGTGTGGGATCTTAAAGAAAGGGTGTGCATGTTCATAAGTACATGGATCATACATACCAGAACCCCTGTACCCCTCCTGAAAGGGAAGGGCTGTCGGGTGGCCCCTGAAAGGGAAGGGCTGTCGGGTGGTGCTGGACTCGTGTGGCACTGGACTCGCGCGGTGGTCAAGCTGGGTCCCTCCGGATTTTGACCCTACAGCCATATAACCCAGACACTCCATGGGACTGCCATATGTGCCTACATTGACCCCCCCCAACCACCCCAACTGATCGGCATATACGGCAGTCCCATGGAGTGTCTGGGTAATAAAGCGGACCAAGACCCCCATCGTCATTCGTGCGGAGCAACCCTTTTGTTCGCTGTGAACTCCGGAGATGTGAGATGTGACATGATCCCACATGGAGCCTTACCAAGTGACCGAGTCGTTTGCTAGGACCGGGGCACCAGCAACCCATTCAAGGTATGGCTGTTCAGAAGAACTCCAATCATACAAGCTGGGGAAGCCCACTATAGATCATCCCACTGGAATCTCCATCAGAAGCCTTGCCAGGCCATTGCTCCCAGTAGCTGGTGCTGCTCCCAAGCTCCCTTGGCAAAATATTCACAGGCCAACTTCTGAAAGCCATACGTGCTCTGCCTTGGCTTTTCAGAGCCAGTCTTCCACGGCGGAAGCCAGCGGCTTCGCCGTCTGGCAAGAAGTGGGCTTGGCTTGCCGGTGTTTCAACACATGTCCACATCCCAGGGGGGCGGTCTTTGAGGGGTCTCAAGATTTTTGAGGGGTCTCACGAAATTGGGCCGTGAATGGCCGTGACTCCTGCCCCCAAAAAATGCAGCAAACCAGGTGAGAAAAGCAATGGTGTGGGTTGGAAAATCGCACGCCAGGACCCTCGGTTGTTTCATGTGGTTTCCTCACAATTTCACGTAACATGCTAGCAGCTCGCAGCCATGTGACATCTCGTGACATGGATGAGACGAAACCGGACGACACCGGAGGAAACCGGAGCCACGGAGCCCCGGGGTGAACCGGAACCGGGGGCCGCCCCCATGGTTTAGGCCGGTGGAATTCGAGGAAACAGACGCCTGATGCAAACATGGTGGAAAATGGATGAAAATGGGCACCTCGCAGCGGGGCGCTGGATTCAGCAGAGGAGCGGGTGAGTCGGGTGAGTCAGGTGAGTCGGGGTGTTTGTCCCTGGCCAATGCGCTTCGTCCAGCTTCGGATCTCCAAGCCACGGAGGAGGGCAGGATTTCAGATCCGACTCCTGGCCGGTGAGGAGATGGGAGGAGCCTCCAGAAAGAAGGAAAAGCACAGAAGACCTATATACCAGGACCACCAGGAGTTACAAAGGGGATCAAAGGGGTGCCGAACTTGGAGGATAGGGGTCCCCATTATCATCCATGATCCATTCACTCAGGGACCAAGAACATCCAAAAAACCATCAAGAACCACCCCTTTGTGACTCCTGGTAATTAAGGCCTGATGGATTCACATTGGCAACCTGAATCCAGCAGTCTGTTCCCTGAAAGGCCTCGTGTAGTCAAACCCCTGGAGTGGTAGTATTATTGTGGTTCAGTATGATACACTACACTGTACGGTGGTAGCCGTCATCCAAGTCTTGGAATCACTTGCACGCCCTTAATAATGTAATGATTCATATATAGAGCTATATAGATGCTCCAAAATAGGCATCAACGCTGTCAATGATAGCGCATCTCACGTGTAATTCTTCCAAACATCTCCACCCCACATCTATTGAACGTCACCTTCCAACACATGCAAATATAAAACGCATCACCCGAGACACTCCTTGGAGGGAAAGGTCTCGCAGCACTCGTAGACCATCGAGCTGCTGATCACCACCACCTTCTCCAGGAAGCCGGCCTCGCCCAGGAAATTCACATCAGATGGTTCTCCACTCCGAGAGCAAAACATTGGAACGGAAGGGAAAGGTTCGAGGTTTCCAGATCCACTGGGATAGCATAGGGGTTCACATATGTTCACATGGCATCACTCATGTCAGGAACCCCTGCAGAAAGAACGTGCGGAAACCACGGAAACTCATAAGAACTCTGACTTGCTATGTTAACGGGACACATCTCGCTTTCGTGGATTTCAAGGAAACATGATTGCACTGTCATGATTGTCATGTATGGCCTCCCCTAAACCCATGGTTTGCGAAGACTCTCCTTAGCCGCCTTAGCTTCAAGAGTTGCAACTGTGCAACAAGTCAGTACTGGACCGCCCTTTTGGTGCTCTTCGTGGCAAAGACGTCCAATATGGCCCAATATTCGTTTGACCAGAAGGGCATCCTCATGCTGGGCCAATCGACCTACTCTAATCGACCTACCCTTCAAAATGAACAAGCCGAAGGGGCTCCGGGTTTTTGGTTCCCGGATTGGTGTTTTCGGTTCCCGCGGTGTTTCTTTTTCCCGCGTTGGTGTTTTCGGTTCCCGCGGTGTTTTGGGTTCCCAAGTGGGTTTTTGGTTCCCGCGCGGCGGTGTTTTCGGTGCCCGGCTCGGTTTTTTCAGTGCCCGCGGCCGCGGGTGTTTTCAGTTCCTGTGATGGTGTTTTCGGTTCCCGCCTTGCGTTGAAGAGGGACAAGATGCGCGGATGTTTTCGGTTCCCGCGTCCGGTGTTTTCGGTTCCCGCGTTCGGTGCGATTAGGTCTCCGGTGCTTCTGGTTTTCTCGTCCGGTGTTTTCGGTTCCCGTGTCGGGTGTGCTGTGTTCCCGTGTGAAATGGTGGGAGTCTTGTGTTGTCGGGGGACAACGCGAAAGAATTTTTGTAAAGACACGAACAAACACGAACCACCAAAAGCCACAACCACTACCACCACCACCTTCACCACCACCACCACCACCACCACCACCACCACCACCACCACCACCACCACCACGAACAACAGCAACAACGACCACAACAACAACAACCACCACAACGACGACGACGACCAACAACGACGACCAACAACGATCAACAAACAACATGCGAAAACACCAACACAGGAGCTGGGCAAGGAAAACACCAATCCAGGAACTGAAAACACACAGACCTGGGGGGGGAGAACTCCGGGAAGGAAAAACACCAATCCAGGAACTGGAAACACCAAGACCTGGGAACCAGAAACACCACGGGAACCGAAAAAAACAATCTGGGAAAAGGAAACACCACGGGAAGGGAAAACACCAATCTGGGAACTGAAAACACCCAACCCAAACCCCCGAAGACCCGCCTGCTTTGCCTCGACGCAAACATCGAAAGCAGCACCTGAGCGTTGCCAAAAGCAGTGATAATAAAGCAGGTCCTTTGAGAATTAGCGGGAAACAACTATAGTCAAATTAGCATGCCATTGTTTGTCTACGAAGCCATTTACGAATTTACTAACAAAATAAGGTATCAAACAGATTCTATAAGAAGGAATACATGGCTCCCCAATGTTGCAGTTCCGTATATCATTTGACGATTCCACCAGTGGAGGTCAGTGTCCACCTGATTCTCTTGCTTGTCCCCTAACAGTGGAAATGTAACAACCCCGTGCTCTTTGGCTCTTTAAAACGCAAGCTTGATTTGTCTTGGCACAACGAGCTGCGACCTGCTCCACACGAACGCCTCTGGTCCTCTTCCCGGAATCGGATTTCTCCGTCGAAAACGCTTTGCTCGACAGCGATGCCTCCGACCAAACCTCTCGACGATGCGTTCGAGGCATCGATGCGTTCGAGGGATATCGAGGCACAGGTGATGCGTTCGTTCTCTGCCAGCAGAAAGTAAGCTAACTTGTGAAACCTCGTGGAACGCTGAAGAGCAAAGAGCAGCGTTTCCCTGACTCGGCATCCGACCCCAAAAAGAACAGCCGCTGTGTTTGATTCAATGCGCCTCAGTCTATGAGTGGCTTCCTCTGCCTGCCAAAAAGCATTGAGATGCCCCCAATGATCGCCGCAGCTGCGATGAAGATCTCGATCTTGTTGTCGAAAACAATCTGCAATGCCGGCGGTTGGCTTCCAAGTCAATGAAATTAGCAAAACAACTGAATGGGCAATCAGACCTAGCAAGTATACCATCTTTGAAAGGTTCGTTGTGTCCTGCTCAATCAATGCATGTTGAAGATCCATAACTGCAAGACCTGGGATCCCATCGCGCAAGATGAACAATTTCCCAAAAATGCCAAGGTGTCCAACAAACACAAAACCCACAGTCCTGTCTTCTGGATGTGAGTCAGAACCTGCTGAACCCAATCCCAAATCTAAGCCCTTCAACCAGGGGGCACACCGGTACCCCTTGCAACACACACACAAGCACAGACCATGCACATCTAACATATCTAACACTGCGGGAACTTCCAACAATCACTTCGCCAGGACTGGCCTTCCGCAGAAATTCCACGTCCTTGGCGTCGCCCTGGTAGAAGTGGAAGCGGGGATGCTTCCTGAGAACGGCGTCTTCCGGCGACCCGTGTCACACAGAAGCTTCCTGCAACAAGGCTTGAACAAGAAACTGCACGCTTCGAGGCTTTGCTGGTCGCCCATGGGGACCTGGGAAGGTGTGCGTTCCTTGTCCCAGCCTTTTTGCAAAGGTGTCCTTTTGTTGGATTTTGTTCGCAAGCTGTAGCAGTTGTGCAGCAGCAAATGCTATAGGCTATACTGTACAAAAGGCCTGAAGTGGTTGCAACATGCTAGAAAAGCACACAGTTGGCGTGCGGATTAACACCGAGTGAACTGGGGTGACTGGGGGGTTGAACCAGATCACAGAAACGGTGGACAGATTTCATCTTCAAGAGGCTCAAAGCCACGGGAAAGCGTGCCATACTTCCAGAAGTTGTCCACACCATACACCTCGAGACAAGGATTGGGATCGAGTTTAAGGCCTCGGGAATTTGGTATTAAAGGCCTTCGTTGTATAGTCAAATTCGTGCGATTCCTAAGCGATTTTTGGAGTAGATGTCAGAAGGGATAACAAAAACCTCTAAAATCATCTATATAGCATTTTGCGTTACAGGATCTTGTTGAATGTCGCTATTTTTGTGTTGCATGATGTTGTATGAAGAATATAAAACCAAGGTTTCCCAAGCATCCAACGCAATCCACTGAAACGGCTCTTATGAAACAGTCATCCTCAAATGAAACATTTAACATGGGCAATCCAGAAACAACGGTTGGCCATAGGATCTTGAATGTTCTACAATACTATCCTGTACTTGAAGACGATTGGAAAATATTGGAAAGTTGTCTTCTATATACATGGACTTACACAAAAGTTTGTGGAACATTTTTTGTGAACCGTAAGTTGCTTCTCATTGTTTCTCCATCCTTGAAGTGCTTTCGTAGCGAGCGACCGATTTGAGTGAATTATATAGTGACAGTTGGTGGCTCTTTTGTTTTCGCCTCATGTCCTTGCTCCAAGAAGAGAGGGATGGTGTAGCCCATGATGAAGCCGTGACCTGACCAGCTTTCAAATACCGCTTGAGTTCAAAAGTTGAGCGCGACCCCTCCCCCGGCAGACTGTAGGTGCTGAAGATCCTTGAAGGGTTGAGGGGTTCAAAAATTGCGCAAGGCGGCGCAAGGCCATACCTTTGACGGCCACATCCCAGACACTCCATGGGACTGCCATATATGCCGTCATTGACCCCCCCAAGTCACCCCAATCCAGGCATATATGGCACGCATGGAGCCTTTGGCTATGTTCTTGGCATGGCATGTCTCATCCGAATGTCATAGAACTACCAGGTTGCGGTTCCCCAGGCCGCTTGAGCCAGGTCGCCTGGGGACGTCTTGGTGCATTCCCACCGGCGGATCAATGTGTTTGTCATTTCGTGAGTTGAGCGATCCGTTTCAAGAACTGGGAAGGATTCACCTTGCCTAAGCGGCAACGCCAATTCACTAACTCTGAAAGACATGTGAAGAAGTGAATCGATGACATGACAAATGGCTCCACTAAAAAGAACGGCTGTAAAGGAGTTGGAAAGTCAAAGCGAGCTAAATTACTAAACTTCGACCACATTCGAACGCCAACCGCAACAACACCACAGACTACACAGACCTAAAACTGCATCCGAATCCATGAAGCCAAAACTTGCAGGACACTGAAAAATGAAAAAAAAACACCCGTCTCGTTTCTGCTCGCTAATATGAAGCCAACGCAACCAACTTTCGAACGTAGCTACCGCCCC